CTACCCCACTTTCTTATCTGAGCCCGGCATCAAGACACAGTCAAGAAGATCGGAGACGAGAGAAAGTGCATGTGCCTTCGTGGTTGGAGCCGCCCCTAAGCGTGCCGCCACACCTGGCTCGGAACTCAGCTGAGTGGGAGGGGCCATAAAGGCTACGCTAAGAAGTAGCCTGACTATCAGTCCGCCAGTCAACCACTCAACGCAAATACACATTGAGCTGAGCGCGCGGTCCGACTTGTCCTCCGTCAGTTGACAACCTTCCAAGCCACGGCTTTTAGCGCACCGTGACAGCTTCAAGCGCCTCGGATTGTTTATAGTGAGGAAAGGGCACGGAGCCGTCGACCTCACTCGCTCCCCCAGGCTCCAGCATCAGGTCACCATCCGAATCGGTGGGCGGGGTGGGCGCAGTGGCCGACAGGGCCGGCGGACTCGTCTGCGTGCAGCACAGTACGACTTGGCCCCCTTGACACACACCAGGTTTATCAAAACCAGGGGAGGCAAGAAGGAACCGTCGCAGCCTGACTAGTGTCGCATAACTAGTGACTAGGACACTATCACCAGAACCTGGGTGAAAATAATGGTAATTACGTGGATGGTAAATTTCGAGATAATGTCATTCGTCCTAACTGAACTCTTCAACGTTACTGCTTCCACAGGAGTTTTCTGCATACCTCATTAACTGTATGGTAAACTTTCTCATAAAGGAGACCTACCGCGAATCTCCGGGGATGTGCTCCGATAGATTGGTTAAGAGAAGGGCTACATTGAAACCGATATCGCGTGCCGGGTTGTAGAAGCGCTCAGTGAATTCTTGGAAGTCAATTTTACCGTCAGAATTGGCATCCACGCATCCCATGATATAAGTGATTTCGTCCCTAGAAAACAAAGGAAAAACTATCTTTAAGGACTACGTCACACCTAAGACACATAAAGGCGGGTACAAAAAGAAAGTTTAAACTCACTCTGAAAAAGTCTTTTGTTGTTCGAGGGCCGTCCTAAATTCCCTATGCGAAATCCACCCGTCTTTGTTCACATCAAAAGCCTTTAAAGGAAAGACGAAAAAATTCTCCAATTAAGACGTGATCAGAAAGGACTTATAAGCCCAAAAGGGGTCAGGTGGTTGACGTTCACAATATGATCATAGATTTTATGTTCGAATGATTTACTTAGCAAAGTTTTGTTTTCTAAGTCAGCTTATTATAGAAACCTGATATCTAACAAGTAAAATCCTCAACTATGGAAAGCTTGGGAAACAGGAAAAATCCGATAAGGTGATCCAAATGCTGAGCTGGTGTTGTCCTTAGAACATGTGAAAAGTAGTTGCTTGGGATTTTTTACCTAGAGCTCTGTTGGGCTTTCTGAAATCGAATGAATTACTTAAACTGTTTCAAAAGACTATCAGCACTAAATACTAGTCTATTCTTTCGAACTAACTGATAGGGACTTGTCCTAAGAAAGGTTAAAGTAAAGGTCATTCGAGAATTATCTTAGTACGAAACTATTGGATTTGGAAACTATACTTACAAGGAAGGCATCGGAGTTTGTGATTTCCTTCATCCTCAGGAAGATATCGAAGAAGGTCAGAGTCAACTAAAAAAATTAAAATGTTATTAGGAAAATGCTCCCATGATGCAACAGTGTCGTTCAACAAAAATCAGAGTCAACTATAGGCGCAAGTAAACAGATACACGCAGCAGCAGAAAAAGTGGCATAAACTGCCCGGTTAGGCAGAATTAACAAAGGTGCCTACCTCGACATTCGCCGAGGACTCGGCTAATGTGTCTACCATCTGCCGTCCGATAGGTCCGTTAACAACGTTGCCCTCCAGCATTGATAACAGCATGATCATCATTTCGGTCTGGAGATTGAGGAACTCGTGTAATAGTTCGAGCTGCTCCGGATCTTTGCTCAGATTATCCTGCATGTGCGCAAACAGGTAGAAGAAACCGCTAATCGCGTCCCACAAACGACTGTGCGCCAGAGCCAACTGGTTTCCTTGACAGGGACCCTAAATCAAGAGGGCAAAATAGGGGGGTCATTATTCACCGGATCCGTCCATCAAATTTGAAGAAGAAAGAAAGAAAGAAATAATGAATGAATGAAAGAATGAGAAGGAGAAAAAAAAGTTGGCAATTTTTCGCATCCCTCTGATGAAGATCTTGTCCAACCGACATACGACCCTTCTCCTCCTCTGAAAGCGGTTTCTCTTCTCCAAGAATGCTGCCACTCTCCCCTGTTGGCCTTTTGTTCCCACTCGAATACGCACTAGTGCCAAAACCAGCCCCCTTGCTTTTGAATCCCCTTTTCCCACAAGGCTTAACACCCCCGACCGCTCACACTTTTATATCGCCTCCCCTCCCTTCGGCGCACTGTTTCGGACCAGCGCTGAGGCACGCTCGCAATTAGCGACAGCCAACCCCCCTCCTCTTCCGCGCGTGCAACCACCAATCAGAGGCCTGATGAACTGCAGCC